CAGGTGGGATTCTAATTTAGCTGGCCGGCACCTCTGAGCCAGCTAAATTAGAACCCCACCTGTAGCTCCTCCCACCGGACCAGCGCTGACTCGTCGCTGCTCTCTCCAGCACAGTGAGTGAGGGCAAAGGGGGGGACGGGACAGGACAATATTATGCTGCAGAGTATTATTGTAAATGTATTCTCTGCACTGTATTAGATGTATTAGCAGTACATACTCTATATGTACTACATATAGAGTATATACTGCTAATACAGTGCAGACAATACATAATAACATGAATGGATTAAATGATCTGTATGTAGCCCTGTACTATGGATCATTTAACCCATTCATGTTAGAGGATAATTGTAAATGTATTGTTGCAGGCACTCTATATGTACATGTACTATATACTACATATAGAGTGCACTGCAACAATAGATTTACAATTATCCCCTGCTAACATGAATGGGTTAAATGATCTATAGTACATGATATGTAGCCCTGTACTACGGATCATTTAACCCATTCATGTTAGCCGTGCAGAATTGTATATCTATTGCAGTGTGGTCTATATGTACTGTACATATACAGCACAAATGTCCCGTACATTGCAGCAATAGATTTACAATGATCCCCTGCTAACATGAATGGGTTAAATGATCCATAGTAGAACTACATGTTATGTACTATTATGTACTATGGATCATTTAACCTATGCATGTTAGCAGGGGATCATTGTAATTCTATTACTGCAGTGTACTGGACATGTGTACTGTATATGTACTGCGGATCATGATTTAACCCATTCATGTTAGCAGGGCAGAATTGCGAGCACCTCCCACAAGCTGAGCACCGAGATGCGATGCAGCGATCCTGCCCAGCGCCGACTACAAGAGGCACCACGTGAGGCAACAGAGATCGGAGTGAAACTGAGTGACGGAAGCTGGGACGGGGCTGGCTGTAAATCTATTGCTATAGTGTACTGGACGTGTGTAATGTATATGTAGTGCATATATACAGCACATACCTCCACTACACTCCAGCAATAGAGTTACAATTCTCCGCTGCTAACATGAATAGGTTAAATCATGATCCATAGTACATAACATCATTTACGGATCATTTAAAGTCACCTGTCCCTTTAAGAAAAAGTAATTGGTATCGGCAAGTACATGAGGGGAAGTACTTGTACTTGGGCCTGAAAAAGTGGCATCGGGACATCCCTATTTTAAAGTAACTAGGATTAACTTATTTTCCTGCAGCAAAGTTTATGTTTAACTATTGCACTGCACCAAACCTAAGTCAACACGACGACGCACAGAAAAACAAAGAACTTCTCTGGAGTATTCCTGAATAGGAAACATTGTGGCATACATAATTACCACATTAATAGACATACAGAAACAAATATCAAGTACAGGCCGTGCACCTATTTCTGCTGACCCATCTCCTGGGAGCTTTGAAGGTTTTCTGATAATGAGTGAAAAGCAGAATGACTTGTACAGCCTCCCGCCCCCCTCATACCCCACCCAAAATTCTTGACTCCTGAGAGGTCAAAGACTGTTCTGACTGCTGACCCTGAACGCGGCACATTCACCTCACTGGAGGTGACCGGGCAATGCAGGGGCCCTTGTAAATTGCATTCTGTGTGACGGCAGGTCTCTGCAGCAATACAATGGAGATCAGAGACATGAACAGAAGAATCTATAGCAGAAGAAGGCTGCTCGTTCTAAAAGGAAACAAGACATCAAAAATAGTATCACATGACCGACTACTGGTTGTCTGCAAAGGATGGTGCATGAAAAAGAACAGCAAGTGTTTAACCAGTAATGAGGGGGGGTCACAGGGTTATAGTGATCAGAGGTTGTATACAGAAGAGATCTTCGGGAAATAAGAGGTTAACAGAGGGGAATGCAGAGGGTTTTGTGTGCCCTGGATTTCCGTGAGATAATATACCGCATTCAGCTGAGGCCTACACCATAACGATCCCTCCTCCTCCTCCTCGCTGACATTGCTGCATTGTAAAGATGACTGAAGACACCGGCATCCCTGTCACCGAGTGTCAATCAGGACTGAATCTGCACAGGGGAGGCTACCATATAGGAGGAAGTGATAAACAATTGGGAACATGAGCAGGTGTAATCTTTCCTCTCTTCCAGGCAAGGCCCAACAACCAAAAGGCCCTGCTATACACACCATGCCTGTTCATACCCCGACATCCTCCTAACCGGAAGCCTGCTAGCCAGAAAATCCCAACAACAGCTTCTACTGGGAAATCATCTACTATGGACATGGGTGATGAGGCAATGTAATGGGGACAGAGGTACCAGGGGGCTGCAAGAGGACAACATTACCATACAGTGGGGTAGAAGTACAGGATGGGGACATCAAACAAGGTCTCAACATCAGCTTCTGGGGTCCCCAAAATAACAGATACTGTATTTACTTATCAGGAATTATTCACCGATCATATAAATAATGTGTGTGTAAACATAAGATGGATCCACATACTGTACATTTTGTGTATATATCATAGCTCATTGCACCATTTATATTGGCGTGTCCCAACCAGACTTTTAAAGGAAAGGCGGGCTGTGACACGCCGAAATACTGGTGCAATAAAGCCATTAGATCATCCTCCTTTCAGTGTGTACAACGCCGGTTGCCACATCACTTTTTGTTTTGCGTGCATTTATTTTAGATGAGATATATATCGATATAGATACATATAGATATATATAGATAGATAGATATAGATATATCTATCTATCTATATATAGGGTTGAGTAGTAGAGGTGCCGACGGTTCTTCAGGAAGAGTTATGTCCAAATGGGAGTATACTTTGTCCGATGTTCTGAAAGATGTCAGATTAAACTTCTCCAGTTTGGACATAAACTCCTCATTGTCTCTACTACTTCCTATTTATCTACTGATGTTACATTGCTGCACTGCACCCAAGAAGGCTGTGATGTATACTGTGGAGGGAATGCATAAAAACTGGAGCAGACAGAATCTGGGGCAGATTTGCACTGCGACCAATCAGCATATCTTTCTCATTTTCAAATCTTACCTGAACAAACTGAAGCAAGAAGCTGATTGGTTGCCATGGAAAACTGCTCCAGTTTTGATAAATTCCCCCCTGTATGTATATAGATATATAGTGATATGTGCTCTCATGTAGTACATGCCTGGGATGGATAGCTATATATACATTGGCGAGTGTCCCAACCAGATTGTTAAATATATATATTGATATGTGCTCCATGTAGCAGATGGCTGGGATGTATATGGTATGTATATAGATATATAGTGATATGTGCTCCCATGTAGTACAAGGCGGTGATGTATATAGATATATAATGATATGTGCTCCCATGTAGTACAAGGTGGTTATGTATATAGATGTATATAGATTATGTATATATAGTGATATGTGCTCCCATGTAGTAGATGGCTGGGATGTATATGGTATGTGTATAGAAATATAGTGATATGTGCTCCCATGTAGTAGATGGCTGGGACGTATATAGATATATAGTGATATGCTCCCATGTAGTAGATGGCTGGGCAGAGGCCTCCGCACTGGCCCGTCCTCCAGGCTGTCACCGTGTCCCGTCCCCCCCTGCAGCCATTACACTGCCTGTCATGTAAATGAAGAATGTCCTTATCCGCGGCCTCGGTCCGCCATCCTCCCCACTCACCTCACCCCTAATGCATTCTGCGGCGGTGCCGCTCGGGCCCGGTATCCCCCACCACCTACCTCCCTCACACACACACACCCCTGTACGCAGCTACCTTTGAACAAATAGTCGTATTCGTCGTCCCGGGTTCCCATGCTGGCGGTGAATGTAGTGCTCCGGATCTGCAGCTATCGGCAGCAACCGACAAAATCTCCAGGAAGCCCGGCTATGACCGAACCCCTCCCTGAAACAGGAACAACGCTTCCGCCCAGTTCTCGCTGGAAGCAAGGGGGCTTACAGCACTTCCGGGTTCAACGAAGCACGTCGCCGCCATCTTGGTACACCCATTTTGTTCCGTGACACGTCACTTATGTCTCACGCTCGTTTTATTTGCCTGTTTCGGTTGGAGCTGAGCGAAAGTTTTAGTATAAAGTTTATTGGGGTCGTCGTTTCCCAATCTGTCAAGTCAGTAGAAGTAACGTTTGCGTGAGCTGCAAAATGGCGCTTTGTACTGCAGGAGGTGCTGCAATATGGCGGGCGGATTGCAGTTTGCTCTGACACTGCGGCAGAGCGAGTGTTACACGGAGATACAAGGCGCCTCTGTAACCAGTCAGACTGGTACTAATTGTGACAAAAGGAAATAGATAACAAACCCGGGCTATGTATAGATAGCAGAAAAATACGCTGTGGGCACCACAGATCATGTGACTGGCTTGTTATAGAGTGTGATCGCACATAGTGCCTTTAGTAGGTTCCATGGTGTAATGGTTAGCACTCTGGACTCTGAATCCAGCGATCCGAGTTCAAATCTCGGTGGAACCTAACATTTTATTATTTTTCCCCACTTTACCTTTTTTGAATACTTTTGTCTCTGCCTAAAATAATCTGTTCAATATGGTTTTTCATTTGTTTCACATTAAGTAGGTAAACACTGTTTTGAATTCATGTTTTCGATGCATATTTACGTGTAACCTGCAAAAAACTACAATGCCCAAAGTTGGCCATAGGGGACGCTTTAAAAGGATCACCAGTTTAGTATTATCAGTGATTAACAGCCCTAGAATTATTGCTCGCACTCCGACATTCACGTTATGGGCGGAACTTTTATACACGAAGCCCGGGAAGGCGTCATGGAGCCGCCTTCCCGGCCAATCAGAAAGCCGGGCAGCGTGTAATGATGCGTCGCCCAGCTTCCTGATTGGTCAGGAAGCTGGCCAATCGGGAAGCTGGGCGCCGTGTAATGAAGCCCGGGAAGCCGGCCTCATGCTCCCTCGTCATCTCATGACGAGGGAGCATGGAGCCGGCTTCCCGGCCAATCAGAAAGCAGGGCGCCGCGTCATTACATGGCGCCCGGCTTTCATGATTGGCCAGCAAGACGGCTCCAACTGGGTACCGGAGAAAGGCTGCTCCTGGCTGGAGAGGCCCCAGGGGTGACAGGCTGGACATGCTGAGGTGAGAGGGGACAGACTTTCTTGTTAATCGGGAAGCCGGGTGGTGAGTTTTTACACGCTGCCCGCCTTCCTGGCTAATGAGGAAGCCAAGTGGCGAGTCATTACACGCCACATGGCTTCCTGAATGGGACTTCCGGTACTCGGTATTTGGTATCGGCGAGTACCGGGAAAAAATTATCGGTACCAAAATGCCGGTATCGCTGCATCCCTAATATTTTCCTTCATTTTGAATTCATGGTTTACATTGTAGGCCTTTTGTATGCATGGCCTGTAGTTTCCATATACTGTATGTTGTGTATCTGCATTCATATGCAATATTGGAACATGTAATATAAACTATAAACCATGTTTGTGATTCTATATGCAGTAGATCTTTTATATATAAGTACCAATAATAAAAATAGATAAAATGAGTAAATTCTTTCTTCCATGTGAGTGTTAGGTAACTGGAACACACAAGGTAGTGATCTGAGCGCCCGTCCTGGATGGATAAGATAGGAGGTAAGAAAACAGGAAGTCCACTCAGCAGGATGTAGTGGAGCATGACTGAAGATTGTGCCTGTCAGCACTTTGGCAAGGCTAGGCTGACCATCCTCAGGATAGCTTGCATTGTGACTGTTCGAACGCTTTATCTGCTGGAAGATAACATTCTGATGTGCACACAAAACACTAGATCAGGGGTAGGCAACCTCGGCAAATCCAACTCCCATCATCAAGACTCTACCTCTGGCTGTCAGAGTCTTGCAATGCCTCATGAGACTTGTAGTTCCACAGCAGCTGGAATGCCAACGTTTGCCTAACCCTTTCTAAGATAGATGCCTGAAGGCATTTAACCCTTTTGCTGCCAGAGGCGTTTTTGCTTCTTTTTTTTTTATGCACATGTTAAAGATGCGCATTTTAGGTCTGAATAGTACTTGAAACTCCCACAATTAAATATTTTCTGAAAAAAGAGACCATGGAGGATAAAATGGTGGCAGTTGCAGTTTTGCATGATGCTAACTGTTTATTAAACCCAAGTTTTCAGTAAAAAATATACTCCGAATAATAATAATCTGGAAGTGATCGGGTGGCTGTAAAGCTCACTTCCAGTGTAAGGCCGGCAGTAGGGACCGTGGCCGGCTGTAGTTGCTCATTGCTAGTACAGCAGATGAGTGTGACATAATACTCAGCCGGCCCTCCTGCTACAGAGAGGCCCGCCATCTGTTATGCGGAAAAAGAACCAGAATATAAAAGCTAAAAAAAAGTACCTAAAGGGGTTGATTTATAAAGGGTTTGTCCAGTGTATAGCTAGGCAAACGCATGTGTGCATGGCATTACTGCTGCTAGGTGGAGGAGTATAGACAATTCCTATGCACTTCGGCTCCATCCATGTCATGCTCACTTTATCCAGTCATGCCATGCGAATGGTGTTTGCCTAGCTGTACGCTGGGTAAACCCTTCATATAGCAGCCCCATTGTGTATTTCCACTGTTGCACTCAAATTTGAGAACACCCCACTGTATGTTTGTTATGTGTTCTCATTCACACAGCACACCTAAAAACTAGGGTTGCACAGATACTTTTCGAGTACCAGTGCAGATACTTGGCATTTTCATGAGAACTACCTGGGTTGCAGCGGTTGCCGCTGGGACCTGGCTCTGGTGCTCCATTTGATTATAGTTAAAAAACACTATTTGCTGCTATCCCATAGGCTCACAAATACTTTTATTTTTTTTATAAATTCTTTTATTTGAGAAGGTTTCAAAAGACAAAAATACAAGCAAATGTAGCCAATACGGGACAAAACTTCCATCACGTGGGCGCAGCCACCGAGCAGGTACCATATATACTTATCAAACATAAAATAAAATAAACATATGAAAATAAGAACACAAAGGCATAAAAAACAGAACATGAAACAACCCTAGGGCAGACTGAGACGTGGATCACTCAATGACATCATTCCACTTTGCGGGCCAGTATGATCTCAGGCCACCGGAGACCCTAATTAAGTCTCCAGTGGACTCCTATTCATTCAATACGTCATCTGAAATGTGGGAGGAGCTAGTCAGACTATACGGTTCCTTCAATGCTTAAAGCACCATCCCGCTTTCCGTAATGCATTGTGGAGAAGGTGGACCATAATGGTTTCACAGGTGTCATGCCATTTAGGGAGGTAAGTATTCACATATCTTAGAAAGGGTTGTGTATGGACTCACAAATACTTTTATATATAAATATCAAATATTTTTTTTGGCTTTAGTTCTCTAGTGGGTCACAGGAATACATTTACTCACTACAGTCGAGAAACAGATCCCAACAATATTATCCTGATCCACCCTGCTGCCTGATTGACAGCTGCCTCTCTAGAGCCAGCTGTGCTGCCCCCTTCCCCTGTCTCTCCCACCAATGAGCAATGGAGGAACAGAGAGGGGAGGAGGGAATCCCTGCGGGGAGCGGTTCCTAACAGTCACTGCTCTCTGCAGGAGAAGAATGTGAGCTGAGCGATCAGGGGTTTGTGATCGCTCAGCTCTCGATCTGTAGAGCCGGCGTGTGACAGCTGCAGAGTATCCCACCCCATCTCTAAAGACTGCAAAGAGTGTATATTTTACTCTCGCAATAGTTCTACTTTTGCTAGCTTTACTTCTAGTTCCTAGAGGTAACGCTAGGGAGTGGAGCTTTTCGCCATAATGTGTAGTGTGCGCAGCATATTAGCACATTATGGTAGACTTACGTGCCTAACTGATCCCCTCCAGTGCAGTGCTCCTCCTCTCTGGCACTTCCATCTTCAGCTTGCTCCTCTTTCAGGTTGTAAGTCTTTAGGAGCTTGATTGGCCAGGCCCCGGTGATGTAATTCCTGCGTATGCGCAGGGGAGTAACTCCATTTTGGCATGCCAGGTCTGTGCGCTGAGCTCAGCGTGCGAAGAACAAAAATGGCGAAATGAAAAATAGAAGCTTTTATGGCAGAAGAGACTTACACAGTCTTATCTGCCATAATGAAAACCTGGCAATCTGCATTTTTTTTAACCTTTACTTCCACTTTAAGTAGGTTAGTGACACGGCTGTAACAGGGTTCTAATGTTACGGTACAGTACACACGGTTCCAGTAACACCAGGTTTTCAGAATACACAGGCTCTGTTCACACCTGCCAATGGGGCCAGATCGCAGTAGGGTTGCCACCTTTTCTTCCAGCAAAACCCAAACACTCTAGCGACGCACAGAAATTTTTGGGGAGAATGAGTCACGGATTATTCATGTGTAAATAGCGCCACCCATTAATATGTAAATATCACAGTCGAGACTATTTTCAGTGGGGGACCAATAGCCCCTATCTTAATTTTGGTTGCCCCTGTCTGTCCGGGTGAATCCTGGACAGGTGGCAACCCTAGATCGCAGAGACTCATTATTCCTCAGTGGGACTCATGCGATCTGCTGCAAGCGGGAGGCGATGTATAATCCAATGGCGTGTGCACAGACCCGCAGCTGTTCACAAGCAATCGCACAACCTGCGATTACCTGAAAACGATCGCACCTGAACGCAAACAGTGAGGCGCTGCGATCTGACCACCTTCACAAATGTGCCATAGAATGAGCTGAGAGAGATGCAGAGTCATACTTGGCTACATTGTCTCTCTAGACAGAAAATAAAAAGTTGTTTGGCCTTGTTCCTGGGGAGAGAGGAAGTGTGCTGGGAGAGATAAGTGCACTGACAGTTTGGAAGCTGTGACTCATTTTACACTGAACTGTTAAGATGTGCTGAGACAGGGAATGGGAACAGTGCAGGATCACAGCGTGTGACATCACTGACATATTTTGCCTTCACTTGTATCTACAGGCGTGATAAATAATAGTGCGGAAGTTCTTC